GAAGCTTGTTGCCAGTGCAGAGATCTGGCACCTCCTCGGAGATTCTGGTTGGTCAGCAGGAGGGCTAAGGATCTACATTTTAACAGAGGAATTGAGTGACAGGAGGGTAGTGAGCAAAGGGGAGAGTGATATGAGATGGAGTCAGAGGCCAGACTGTGCAAGACCATGAGCTCGCTCTCTCAAATTTAGAGTTTAGGAAGTGCCACCCACGATCTGGCATGAACGTGACAACACATTGTGCTGGATACACATTAGTAAGTGCTTCGTCATTTTCTAAAGACTCTGCTTTTGGGAACACCTGGGTGGCTCAGTCGGCTAAGCATCCAGCTCTCAATATCAGCTTAGCTCATAATCCCATGGTCATGGGATCCAGCCCTGCATCGGGTTTTGTGCTGAGCAAGGAGCCTGCTTGGGATTCTCTCTCTCTCCCTCTCCCCTGCTCTCTCTCTTTCTCCTCTCTCTCAAAAAATATATAAACATCTAAAAAAAAAAAATAAAGACTTGTTTTTCATCCCTCCCAACTCCTTTACCAATGTGGCTTCAGGGTCCCTTTGGGTCTCTGGGTCTCTGTTTCTCCATCAGTACATGATGATAGCACTGGATGAAATGGTCCCAAAGTCAGACCAGATAGCTCATTCGATTGTAGGTTGGGGCAACCCCATATACTGGGTTTCCTGGGACAGTTCCAATTCCCGCCACTTGTCCCGACTTCATTATTCACAACACCCTCTTTTGCTCTCAAAAGTGTCCCAGTTTGGGGGCGCCTGGGTGGCTTAGTCGGTTAAGCGTCCGACTTTCGCTTAGGTCATGATCTCGCGGTTCGTGGGTTCGGGCCCCGCGTCGGGCTCTGTGCTGGCTGCCGGCTCAGAGCCTGGAGCCTGTTTCAGTCTGTGACTCCCTCTCTCTCTGGCCCTCCCCTGCTCGCGCTGTCTCTCTCTCTCCTAGAAATAAATAAAAATAAAAAAAATAAAAAAAAAAAAGTGTCCCAGTTTGGACATTAAATTATAAGGTCACTCTATTTATGGGAAAAGGGAGGAGCATAGGACATGACTGACAGCCCTGGGCTAGGCTCTCTGCCTTGGTTCTTATTAGGAATTTTCCTTCTCTGAGCGAGGATGGTTTTGCAGACTTTCCAAAATGCCCGGGTGAGCTTCAGAGGGCACGAAATACACGTGGCACGGTTGTTCCTTCTGCTCAGGAAGATGAGGCACTCAGCAAATACTGGCAGAGGTATAAGGGCCGGTGCACTGCCCGCGTCGGACGGGGTCTGGCTGAAGAGAGATGGCAACTGGTAACACTGGGGAAATGGCAGCAGACCTTTATGAAGCAAGCCTGTTTCCGGGGCTACCTTAGGAATATGTGCTGTCACATTCTCCTAGCTGTGGTCCAAAGGGAGAAGACTGAGATTGACAGACAGCTCTGGAGCCCCTCCCCCTTCTCCTGAGAAGTGAGCTGTAAATGGGCATCAGCCTGCAGGTAGACCAGTGGGCAGGGATGTGGAGGATTCTGTGACTATTTTGTTACCTGAGGTCACCTAGGGAAGAACAGTGGCGGACGTTGTGGGGAAGAGAGGTAGAATAGCAATCTTCCTGGTTTAAATCGAGTAGATTCTAGATGGTAATTGATCCCAGACTTTCCCTCTGAGATCTGGTCCTTTTGTATGTGGGTGAACATAAGGAGACACAGCTGGGAAAAACTCCCTTTTTCGTGTTAAGAAAAAATTTCTCAAAAATAAAATCCTGGGGCGCCTAGGTGGTTCAGTCGGTTGGGGGGCATCTGACTTCAGCTCAGGTCATGATTCTTGCAGTTCATGGGTTCAACCCCTCATCGGGCTCTGTGCTGACAGCTAGCTCAGAGCCTGGAGCCTGTTTCAGATTCTGTGTCTCCCTCTCTCTCTGACCCTCCCCTGCTCATGCTTGCTCGCTCTCTCAGAAATAAATAAAGCATTAAATTTTTTTTTTAAATCCTAGGAGGAACCCCCGGGGTTTCTAACATGAGTTTCTTGACATTTCAATGGCTGTACGTCAAGTGGGGAAGAGAGGAGGCAGAGAGAAAGAGGGAGAAAGAGCTCAAGGAATGGGTGCTTTCTTGCTTTTCTCCTTGTTAGGGTTTTGTGTTTTGTTTTCTTTTGACTTGATTTTAAGATTCTGGTGTGTGGGAATAATCTCACTGAAGAGGAAAATGAGTAACACTTGGTCAGTTTGTTTACTGTACGAACACGCTCACACATACTCGTTTGCAGAGGGCAACGGCAGCAGGGATACAAAGACAAATCACACTAAGAACTGACCACCCTCCCTCTCCCACGCAGAAGCTATAGGTGATGTGGGAGAGAGACAGGTAAACAGATAAATTACTGTGCCTTCTGATGAGTGCTGTAACACGCACGTGTGTGCACACGAGCACATGGCTCTCCAGATGCCCTGCTCCTGATCGCTTCCTCAGAAAGTTTGTTTCCAGGACACCCCTCCCCACCTTTACTGATATTTGCATATGTGCCGACCTATCTTTTATTGGGGTGAAATTCACATAACACAAAATGAACCATTTTAAAGTGAACGATTCAATGGCATTTAGTACCTTCATCATACACCACCACCTCTGTCTAGTTCCAAAATATTTCATCACCCCAAAACAAAACCCAGCACCCATAAAGCAGTCATCCCCCATCGTCGCCTTCCCCCAGCCCCTCGCAAACATGTCTGAATAGATTTACCTATTCTGGGTATTTCATATAAAAGAAATCATGTTACCTTCTGGGTCTGGCTTCTTTCACTTGGCATAACATTTTTGAGATTTATCCATGTTGCAGCAGGTGTCTGCATCCCATTCCTTTTCCTGGCTGAATAAGATTTCATTATATGGACGTACCACCATTTGCTTTATCCATTCATCTGTTGTTGGATTGCTGGGTTGTTTCCACCTTCTGGCTCTTGAGAATAGTGCTTCTGTGAACCTTTGTGTGCCACCTTTGTTTAAGGCTTCTGTTTTCAATTCTTTGGCTTTATACCCAGGTGCCTAACTGCTCAGACATACGGTAAGTCTGTGTTTAAGTTTTTGAACACAGTGGCTGAACTAGGACAGCCCCCCTCCATAACTTAACCGACAGACTTCAAAGAACTAAATCCTGATTTACAAACACACCAAGCAGCCTAGGTTCCTTGGTTGGTCCAGTGGGTCAGAATTCTGGCTAATGAGACGAAGGTCAGGGGTTCAATCCCCAGCTGACCAGTTAGCTCAGGAGAGTAGACAGTGAAAAATTATGTCTGCTGCCACTCGTTCCGCCAATAGCCTCTCACCCTCTTACAAAGGCTTGTTAGTGGCCCCAGGGGGATGGAGCAAGAGTGAGTTTTTACGGTTCCATATAAAAACTTAGCATCCAAAGCACAGTGGGACTAATTGGAAAGCAGATGACTCTTACTTCCCACCTTGGTTTCGCCTGATTTCTGTGGACCCTTTGGGTAAATCACTTAACCCCCACCCGGAGCCTCAGTTTCCTCATCGCTAAAGTAGAATTCATAAATCCTTACTCCAAAGAGAGGATCATGCAGCCCAGCACTTTGCATATAGTAGGCTTCCTACTTAATAAATGCTGATAAATCTCAAGGGTGGGCAACTTCAGTCTGTGCAAGAACACACCATCAGCTTCGGCGGGAGGCCCTGAGCCACTCTCCTGAGGCTGACTGAGCTGGGATGGCCTTGCACTATTGTCCTCAGGGTTACATTGGCTGTTTTAAATTGTCCTATTTGCATGGAATGAAGCTTGCTATGGTAACAAGGTCTGGTGGCTGGAATCCAGGGCCCCAGTGAAAAATGCTAGGCCTGTGCTCTGGGAGAAAGAGGAGCTAGATAGGTTTATCAACTTTAATGTTACCTCAGATCTCCTATAAGGCGCAATAGGTAAAGTGAAACGGGGGGCCTCAACACTCATACTGCTCTAGTAGGAGAAGAAAGGGGGAAGCCCCCTTGATGCCTTCCAGTCTTCTCTCCTGGCCTCTTCCCTCCCGACCCCCAATATTTAGCCCAGCTACGAAGCTTAGGGCCTGGCTCAGCCAGCCGTCCACCTCGGTGCACACGCGGGGATGGGGGTGGGGGTGGGGGTCTGCGAGGAGGCCAGAGCTCCAGCCGCCCACCCTGGGTCAGGACAGGGGGCTCCTTCCGGGACGGCGCACAGCGTAGGTTGGTGCAGAGGCGGTGGGGGTGGTAAGGACGGAGTGGGGTGCAGAGTGAGCGGCACTCGGGGCACCAGCTCAGCTCCCCGCTGCACATTTCATACCCGCATTCTAAGGAAAGCAAAGCTCCACTCCCGGGATCGCGCAAGGCGCGCCCCCCTCCTCCCGCGGAGCTCAGTCCCCGCTCCCCTCCCGGGCCTCTTTCCCGAGCACCCCTCTCTCCCGAGCACCCACCCCCTCCCCAGCCCCTGCCCGGCGCGGGGCGCTTGTTAGCCAGGGCGGGGGCTGCCCCACCGCTCCCGGGAGGGGACCCAGCGCCGGCCTTGGAGCAGGCGCCCCCTACCCCTCGCTAGGGGCGCCACCTCGGCCCGCTGGCGGCCGCCGCCCGCCGCCCCCGCCCCCCCGGGGGTGTGTCCCCGAAGTGGGGGGGCGCGGGAGGCCGAGGGTGCGCCCTGGTCCCCGGCCCGGGCCCCCTCCCGAGCGCGCGGCGAATGGTAGGCTCCAGCGAAAGTGTGCCGGGCGGCGCACCGTGTCCTTCCCGGAGCCGCGCTCGGCGCCGGGGTCTCGGCGATCGCTGCTCCTCCTCCCCCTTCTCCTCCTCTTTCTCCTTCCCCCCCCCCCCCCGCCGCCTCGCTACCGCCGCGGCTCCGGCTGGAGGCGCCGCTGTCATTCCTACGCCGGAGGAGCCGGCGCTGCCGGTGCCTGGGGGTCGGGGCGCGGGGGAGCCGGGCCGCGGGGGACCCAACAGGTAGAGCCGGGGGTGCCCGGCCGCGCCCCCCCCCACCCCCTGCGCATCATGCAGCTCTTTGTCACCTCTCTCGCCCCCAGGCCAAAATCCTGAGCATGATGGAAGACAATAAGCAGCTCGCGCTCCGCATCGATGGGGCGGTCCAGTCGGCCAGCCAGGAGGTGACCAACCTGCGAGCCGAACTCACGGCCACCAACCGGAGGCTGGCGGAACTGAGCGGCGGCGGCGGCCCCGGCCCCGGCCCGGGCGCGGCGGCGGCGGCGGCGGCGGCGGCGGACTCGGCGGCGGCGAACATGGAGACCCACCAGCACGGCGCGCAAGGTAGGGACCGCCCGGCGCCCCGGGCGGAGGGGGGGCGAGCGAGCGGCACCCGGGCCGGAGGTGGCCGGCCACTCGGTGTCTCCACGCCCCGGGCGAAATCGCCTTGCCTTGTGGCTCCTTAGCCCGGGCGGCCACCGCTGCTCCCCTGCTGGGAGTTGCAGGCTGCTGTCATTAAGGAAAACCCGGGCGCGGTGTGCACGGGTTCACGCGGTCACACGGGCCCCGGCTAACCTAGCCGGAGCGAGGCGCAGCCGGCGCGGCCCCTCCCGCAGCACAAAGTGCCCTTTAGCTGGCGCACAGCCCCCAGCTCCGTGGGCAAACTTTTCGTGCCCGAGCCTTTGCCCCCACCCTCGACAGGGGTGAATCCCACAGCTCCCCCCACCCCACCCCCTGTTTCTGGCAGCACCCTCCTTTGGAAAGACTCTCCACCCCCCCCACACACACCCCCCCCACCCCGGAGAGCGAGCTCCGGGCTCTGCTGCCCTGGTTGGGGTAGAGGATTGGACTGGTTTGCACTTTTCTCCACGGATGCCAAATCCCTTGTCTCCGTTGCATCTGGACTTTATTTTCTCCCCATTTGAGATCGCGCAGACAGCGGAATATATCGATGCAACAGTAGATGCTTTGCTCGGCAGTGAGTTTAAATTCCCAGCAAATATAAACACCAAGAGCACTTTCCAGGAGGAAATCTTAGACCTCAAAGGCTGAGTGATGGGCTCCTGGCGAAACAAGGCTTATAGATGGTGGGTTGCAGGGAGCTGGCTGCTTGAAGGGACTCTCTGCACTTTACAGGAGGAGGGGGAAGAAAAGACAGCTGGACCCTGTTGACATTGACAGTGATGAAGCCCTGACCACCCCCCTCACCCCCCGCCAGGGTTAAAGGGGAAAAAGCATCCAAAAATGTACTGTTTGGTTTCTGCCAGTTGAAAAGTGAAAGGGTAGACTGGCTTTTCAGTCTTTTGTGTGTGTGTGCATTTTGTGTGTTTTGTTTTGTTTTGCCTGATTGCTCTTTAAGAAATGGTTTTGCTGATTATTAATATCATTCAAATTATAAACTAAACTGCTGAAATCCAGAATTCGACAGAAAAAAAACTATAGGAGGGCCACTTGATGAAGTATGAGGTACCAACAGCTCAGTGGCTCAGAGGGATTTTTTCTGCTTTTGTTGTTATTTCAAGAGCTTCTCCTACGTGTTGAGAGAGTCTGTGTTCATATTAATGCCTTCTCCCCATCATTTTCTACTAGATCCTCTCCTTCCTGGAGAAGCTGTGCTTTTTTCTGGTGTGAGATGTTAAGCCTGTACGTTAGTTTTGTGCGGAACGCCAAGTCAGATGTTAACTTAGTACTTCAGGAGTCTGTCAGAAGTGTTAGGAATTGGGGCAGCAGTTTGGTCAGAAGTAGCCATGACGTAATGGTGGGAAGGTGTTGTGAAGCTGTTATTTGCTGCACAGTTGTTTTCAAGGTGGATATCTTCTTATCATGCCATTTATCCCCTGCTCTGTCTTGATGTGTGGAAGTTGCTCTCCGCTGGCGTCTGGGAGAAGAAGAAAAAGGAAGGTAGACTGTGTGGTAATGCTTTACTCCTTCAGGGCAGAGACTCTTCCAACATTAAAGAAATAGCTAAGAACTGACATTCTGTGAAGGATCAAAAACCATGGTTAAGGAGGGCGAAAGAATGCTGGTTTATTTCCCCAGCATCTGCCTCCTTTCCTCGGCCAAGGAAAAGTTAAGTGGCTTTCATTTGAGTCCTGGGTCCAGTTGCAGACTGAGCATGCTAAGGAGGTCAGTACAGCAGTGATCCACGCACTCAGTGTGGAAATTGAGATACTTCGCAGGTGGGTAAATTGTAGTAGAGCAATGGTGGGCTGTTTCCTTCTCTTTTCCTACAGAAATGCACAAGGCTGTGAAAATGACCTTTGGATCCCTTGATGTCCCTAAAAACATACAAAACTAGCATCTCCCTCATGCTCCTAGGAGGAAGCCTGTCCACATCAGTAGCCATCTGTGGATGGCTGGATGACGGATGGTCTCCATTTTTCCTCCGCGTAACCTTCATAGTTTCCAACACCTTTACTAGGGGGAATTTAGTGATTTTATAATCAGAGAATAAAACGTTAAAGGTTTCAACTCAGCTTAATTGTTGGCCACACATCCCTCTTGAGTGGATTTGAATTTAAACCAATGGGTTTTAACCAATGGGTGAATTCTAAAGTTTCCTTACGCTTCTTTGTAATATGCATCCAGGAAGGCTCACGAAGGATCAGCTCCTGGGGCTACCTGACCATTCTTCCAGATTCGTCTTCTGTTTTAATTTTGTCCATGTTGGTGGGACTCAGAGGGACCAAACCCTAGGAGCATCTTGTGCTGTTGAGTTGTCCCATTTCAAATCAAAGTTTTGAATGAAATGAGTATCTTTCAAAATGCATCTGTAGCAGTCATATTTTACTAAAGGGCGTTATGCACATATTAAATGAACGCTAAGGCACATTTAATAATATTAGCACAAATGGTTACAGGGAAGAGTCACCTCTCCCTCTCCCTACCAAGGACTTGTTAGCTCTATTTTCAGATTTTTTTTTGTTCCAATTTTTTTTTTTTAATGAATTCAACAAGCTCGTCCATTCACTGTGGGGGTTTTGTCCCAGTGATGGTGTCTGACCCTAGGTAAGTCGATGAAGAAAACCTGGGTTTTCCTAGAGAGTTAATGCAGTGCGTCGTTGAAACCAAATATTAACTTGGTTGGTACCCTGTGTGAGCCGGCATGGTTGCTATGTAACGGAGTCTAGAAAGTGAACTGCTGAAAATCTGGGCTTTCAACACTTTGCAGGATCTCCTTTTGGAATCTGTGTTGAAAGTACACTTGGCAGGCAGCCCATCTTCTCTCTCCCTGCTCCGAGTGAGTCGGATAATCCCTAATGAGGATTCTGGCATACAGTACAGTGGGCATCCTTGCAGGGTGGGGTGCATTTCACAGCTCCCCAGCTGCCTCTCGGGTTGGGTGGGGGTGGGGGTGGGGTCAAAACCGCCTTTGACAGGTGGACAGAAGGAGCCTTGGAAAGAACAGAGCCAAGCATTTGTTCCAATTTGTCTTGTTGTTGGTAGCCAGAGAACGGATTTGTTTAAAGTAACATTTCTAAGCTGTTTTCCTCGGCGTAACATCTCTGGAAAATGTGTTTAAAATGCTTGCTGTTCTTTGAGGAGAAAATATAGCAGTTTGTTTCTCTGAAAATGTTTTATCTGATGAATGACTAATATTAGATTCAATTGCTTGCTTTGCTATGCATAGAATAAAACAATTAAGCGCCATTGTACCCCATTCAAATAGGTGTTCACCGTCTAGACCGTAAAATACTTGTGCCTAGTAGGATACATGCCTGCTGCTGTTAGTTTGTTGTTGTTGTTGTTTGAAGGAAATCATTGTATTGATATGCCTGTGCAAGTAGAAGTGCTGACAGCATGTTTTTTGAGTGTTGAGGACACAGAGCCCACTGCATTTGTTAGGGTGGGAATGGAGAAAAGGGTCATTTTCCTACGCTTTGGTAAATTTCCATAAATAGATGCAAGTTTTCTTTTTTTCTCCCCAGGCGCTAAAATAGGCTGTGACTTCAGGTCTGACTCTTCTTATCTAGCATCACTACAATACTGGAAATTCTTTGGTGAAGTATGAATTACCTCTGGACTGAATTGAATGTGCGAGCATTCTATGGAGATGCTAGACACTGTTGCTTTGCAAAATCAGTTCTGTCTTTTGGCATCCCCTACCCAATTCATTCTACTTCGGCTCTGGTTTTCCCAAGTAGACTTTTCTCTTTTCTTGAGAAAAAAAAAATTCAAAGGGCAGAGTAGATGGAACAAAATGGGGTGGAATTTCTGGGGCCTCTGTTGGCTTGCCCCCAAGTTACAGAGCTCCACTCACGCGTCACGTACGTCTCAGTTTTCCGGCCGTTATCAATGGGTTGAAAGAGACAGGTGTCTTTTCCTCATCTGGTAGGCTGTCGTGAGATGGGGCTTCAAAGTTCTTCCTGAAATTCACCACGCATGGTCACAAAGAGATTACTTACAGATCAGCACAACATGGTTGAAATTAGTTATTGATCGGCTATTATTTACTCTCTTCCTATTGTCTTTGGGAAATGTCTTTGGAGGACCCCTTACGTCAAGTTTCTGGCTTTGATTAATTTCATGCTTCCAATATTTCATGATTTACTGAGGCTTTTCAAAACTTCTTTGATATTAACCACAAGTCTAAGCCAATCTGATTTTTATAGTAGGAGCCATGTTGCATATGGTCCCAGGGTAAGGCAAGGCATGGCTCTCCTCATCCCTTTAGCCTCCCTACTCCCCAAGACTGCTGGCACTTTTAGCAATCCTGGAGGTCATAATTTGTGACTTCCTGGCTGCCCGTGAACTTGTAGCAGATGGGCCTGACAGGTGGGGAGTGCTGGTTGGAAAGTTACCCACTCACTGTGCAAATCAGAGAGGGCCCAGAAGGTCAAGCTTGGGGTTGTGGCCATAGTCATTGCGTATTTTGTTTACATTTATTCCTGAGTTATACAGCTAAGGAAAGTGACATCAACACAAACTCCTCAGTTCTTCTCAAACCCTTTCCTAGATTGGTTTGTGTGAACATTAACACTTAGCTTCACACCCCTGCCGTCCATCAGGCAAGAAGACAACTTGTTCTGCCTGCTGAGGCCAGGGAATGGGTTTTTAAGTGATCTTGTAAGTGAAAATGAGTCTGTACCATTTGGGCTGGATATTAGGGTAAGTAACACATGGAATGACAAAGGGGTGCCACCAACAGCACTAGTCGTAATGTCTTCGTCGTCTGAAATGCAGGCCCTGCGGGTTCAGGCAGGATCACTTAGGATAAGAAGCCAACAGAGTGACCATCCGTTGTGGCAGATTGTCCCTGACAGTTCAGAGCAGGTAAGAGTCCTGCTGGCCCCATGTCACCGTCCTCAAGGTCTCCAGCCCAGGCCCCTCTCCACTGTGAAGAG